TGTATTGCTGCCTGGTTGTCTGTGAAGATGGTTGCTGTACGGGTCTGATAGGAACATTGTGATTCCAGTCCACTTGGGTTGCGTATTTGGGTAAGCGCCATCTTTATGCCCTGTAATTCTGCTGCATATACAGTGTGGGTAGCTTGAGAGCCAATGCAAACTGCTTGGCACCCCAGAGGCAAAACTACTGCTGCTCCAACTCCCTGTTCTGTCAAGCTGCCATCTGTGTACACAATGATATCAGCTCTGCTGTGTAAGATGGCATTGTGAGTTGCGAGAGCAGCTTCCCGAGTTTCTGCTATATGGGGTTTCAGGCCTGCCCACCAAGGCGGGGTCACATGTGGGTGTATAATCTCCAGCTTGTCCTGAGAAATTGCGGTTCGTCGCTCCCATCGTTCTAATGGTGATGTTAAAGGATCATGGTCTGGGCTGGTGGCCCATCGCATGCGTCGCTCCCTTGCGTTCCTTGGCGCTGGTCGTTGGCCGGAATGTCGTATCTTGCTGAGGGTGGCCATAAGGGGTGATGTGGCAATTCGGAGGTATGATTCTTTGGCCGCACGTTCCAATGCGATCATTGGAGGAATATATTTAAACATAGTGCGAGCTAAGTACATTTTCTTGCAAAGGGCTACCGAATCCGCTCTGAACGCTTTGCACTAAATACAGTAACTAAAAGAACACGATGGCCAAAGAAGGCCCATGAAAGGACCAGGTAATTCGGTAGGTAGTCAAAGTCTCATTCTTTTGATGTAGTCCCCCAGGCTATTAAAGTTTTGTGGAGATTTTAAGATGTATCTAGATGATTTTCGTTTATTGGCACATATCGGTATCTTGCCTTGCCAGCTTCTATATCCTGGATGACTTGATTGGCTTCTGACAAAGATCTCATCTGAACCATGGGCTTCACATTGTGGTCCACTGCGAAGTGTAGCATCTCTTCAATATCATCTGGTGATCCAGCGGCACTACCAACAAAATTGATATTATTGAATATAAGGGTGAATGCATCGACATTTGGTAGTTCGCCATTGTCAGGGGTGCTGGCATAGAAAGAATTGTCAGAAGGCACTGCATCCTCGGACGGCAGTCCATGTGGGATATTCACCACAAATCTCTGATGAGTGCGGTTGTAGTTGGCATAGCCACCATAGCTCTTACCTTTACCGTCAGGGTAGATACTACCATAGGTTTCGATTTGATCGCGACAGTAGACTTCTTTCCCGCTGGAACACTCGGGGCAATCGGTTTTCAAACAGCTTCTGGCCTGTGGACCAACTCCAACGCGGTCACCCAATTTGAACTTTTTGACATTCTTCCCCTTGCGGACCACTCTGCCTATGATTTCATGTCCAGCGCAACACGCTGTTGACACCATGTTAGTTCACACGGACCAAATTATGCATCCTGAACTCTGAAAGGGAGAGGGAAGATCGAAACGGATCGTAATTGCCTATAAAGGCAAATATACTTACGATAAGGTGTTTCGTCCCAGCCGGACCTTAAAATATGAATGTCAGATCCACAGACACCACAGTGAGTGATTTGGATGTCGACATCGTCTTCTTCCCACACTTAGGGCTCAAAGGAACCCTATTCCATTTTCCCATGGACGGACTCTGGGTTATGGCCAAGCCAACCCTCAAAGTTGTAGTTTTGCTCTTCCATAGCCTATGATAGTGTTACAATATTGGCGGAAAGTTGGAGAACGGGGGTCACTCGCGGTAGCAAGGTGAGGCACAAGATGGGATTCAAGGGCACGAGAAGCGCAAAGATTTAATAACTTACTCATGTATTCTTGCTCTAGAAGGGCGCTCCAGCTTGCTACTTCGTTTCTTTTCAAGTCTGATTAAATTGGGGCTTGGCTGTTCTAGGCTTATCTGGAGTGATTTAACCCAAATCTTATATCGGTGTTGTCCCCACTAGCATTCAGAACCCACCCAATGATTGAGAAATAAATGTCTATCTGACATGATGTGGATCCTAATGATTGTTAACTCCGCTAGGATGACAAGAATGCCATTTGGCAAAACTTCAGGATCGCATCGCTCAAGAGGTAAAGTTATCGCGCGATTGTGCCCAATCATGGGGCAGTCAGCAACATGCATTAGCGCGCATTTTATCCCGATCCATTACCCCCATTCATATCGTGTACCCGGACTTGATCTACGCATTATCTGCGGGCAGAAGCCAAGCATTGTCAGCATGTTAGCGATTGTTTCTGAGCGCCGAGAGCTCGGTCGTAAGTATCCTTGCTTGGAACATTATCGCCGCCCATACCTTGGATTTGCCTGTCATCCTAGGCATCTGCTTCTTAAATTGACTTGAATAATTAAAGAACAATGGAGTATAAGTACCACCAGCTGTCCACTTATGTCAACTTAATTGATCACGATTCCACTTCGCTTCACAAATATTACCATGGCCCTCAGCACCATGCAAGGCGTGGTTTACAGTGGCACGCCCTACAATGTGTCCGTCATGGACGTGCCCCGGCCCACGATCATCAACAGCACCGATGTAGTGGTTCGCATCACAACTTCTGCCCTTTGCGGCTCCGACCTCCATATGTACCACGGGGTCCAAGGGGGCACACCGCCATGGGTCATGGGACACGAGGCCCTTGGGTGGATCTCGGAGGTTGGCGATGCCGTCTCTTCGCTAAATGTCGGCGAGTATGTTGTGATACCCGACAACGTGGCGACCGGGCATATGAACATGCATCCGCCGGCGATGGACTCGTTTGGAACAGGTGCGGACCTAGGGGGACTTCAAGGTAAAAAACATCTTGACAGCTTTTCTTTCTAGCTACGCTAACTTGGATAGCTGAATATGCACGTGTGCCCTTTGCCGATGATTCTTTGATTCCCGTGCCTTTGACCACAAATACGACCAACTCCTCAATTGAAAGAGACTATATGACCGTATCCGATATCTTCGCGACCGGCTGGTCTGTTCTCACGTACGCCGGATTCGAGCCAGGTGATTCGGTCGCAGTTTTCGGGGCCGGTCCGGTCGGTCTTTTAGCCGCATATTCTGCCATACTCCGCGGGGCCTCTAGAGTGTACTCTATTGACCACGTCCCAATGCGTTTAGAACGTGCAGCATCGATCGGCGCAATTCCGATCAATTTCGCCGAGACCGACCCAGTCCAGCATATCTCGGCCCTTGAACCTAACGGGGTCACTAGAGCTGTGGACTGCGTCGGAATGGAAGCTGTCAATAGGGAGGGCGAAATTCAAGAAAACATTGTCCTAGAAAACATGATTAGGGTAGCCTCATCACAGGGCGGGATTGGCCAGATCGGGGTTTTCATGACTCAGTCTAGTTCCCCTGGTGCACCGCTTGGAGATACACTCTCTCCGAACATCTCTTTCCCGATCACAGAGTTCTTTGGAAAGCATCTACGATATGAAGCCGGAGTGGTGGACCCCAAGCTCGTGGCTCCCGAGCTAGTGCAGCTTATTGCTTCTGGTCGGGCGAGCCCTAGTTTCATCACGAGTAGGGTGATTGGTATTGAGGAGGTGCCGAGATACTATCAGCGTTTTGATCATCATGAAGAGATTAAGGTGTATATACAGTTTCCGTAGATTCAACATGTGAAAGACTGATCTATGTTATAAGCGAGTGCCAGGCACTATACGGTACATATGTATTGCTATTAATGCGCTTTCCCTGTTCCATGAATTCGAGAGGGGCGAGGAGCTGCGACAAACAGAAGGTTGGATTTTCAACATGCTCCAAACCCGTGCGCATGAATATTCGTCTCATTATTATACCACCCCCGATCTTGTTTTGTTCTTTGTCTCTCGACTCTTGCTCAAGGCACCAGCACTCAGGCAGAGATTTAGAGCGCTCTTGTATGATTGCGTCCTTCATAAGGCAGGAATATGATGGCAGTTGGCCCGCTGGAGCTATATACAAGTCACCTAGCACAGAGCTCGCCTCTCTCCCCTGTCCTGTTCGCATTCTTCAACTCCGACCTAGTCGACCAACCTATCAACGTCCACGGCGGTGTATCCGCCTTTATCGATGACTACTTCCGCTAGCGAGTAGCACGCTTAGCCGAAGAGAACCTTACCAAGATTCAATTGGAAGACATCCCCCGCATCAAAGTATAGGCCCGTCGAACCGGGTCCTACTTCGTAGCCGAGAAAACTAAACTTATTTATATCACTAGGAAAAGAAGCGAATAGATCTAGGGTTAAGTAAGTATAAACGGGAAGATAATCGAACTATTGTAACGGGTTAGACCCGCTGCCCACTATATGGCCCTGCCATATAGCCTCCTCTCCGTACACTTCCCGTTCTGCCACCGCCTCGCCCTATACTTTCATTGCTGTTCCGCTCGTACCACTCCTTCCCTTCCCTAAGCTTTTTATATATAGTTTGTGTCCTAGTCAATTTGAATCCTCTTTGGTTTTAGATCTTTATATACAAAATGTAACGGGCCAGTGCCCGACTGACATCACGTGCATGCACGTAGAGTTGCATTCGGCGCGGATTGGCGCGGATGGAGGGTGCCCTACATCCACGCCGCGCGGATTTTGGATGCTCAGGCTTGGATCCGCATCCGCGCCAAAATCCGCGCGGATTGGCGTGGATTAAGCCGCAAAAGCCGCACTAGAGCCCAAATAGGAATGTACTAGGCCATATATGGCTAACTAACCAGTCTCCGTGCTTAATCACCACTTAGTATCACCCTTACGATCGCATGCTCAGCTTGCATATTGATATTTCAAGCCATCTATATAGAATCCGCAGCCGCTACGGACTTTCTCAACTTTCATCCGAAGCCGCGCCATTGCGGCTTTGCTGTGCCACTCTATTTCGGACCCGGTAGCACTTCTATTCGGCCTGGGAACTGGCCACTCGTTGTCTGTATCGTGCTTTCAAAGCCCTCGGATGGGTCTGCTGGTAGGATATTGGCTAATTGTTGAGCGAGGTGTTGTCCCAGGGACCATGGGCCTCCGTCGATTCTCTCAGCCCATTGTCGGTTCCCTGGAGTCTGCTCCCCAGGCTGGACGTGTTGATCCCCTTCATGGAAGCTCACTGGGAGGATCTTCTTTGCTGGGTGACCTTCTGGTAGGCTGAGCAGCCATTGGTTACATTGAATTGGCAGCGCGTTGTCATTATTCAAAAAGTAGATCAAGTGGGCCGAACCCTTACCAGATCGAGTCGAATGCACGATGTCCCAGAGCTCAGGGGTATTCACAAGCAAGATAGAATTGTCAGTGGACCCTGAAATTATTCTCTCCATGGTTCCTGGAACGGTGAGAATGCGATTTTCTTGGCTCCAAAAATTTCTTCAGCGGAGTTTAGTTCGGAATTACCCCATATGCAGCTTGATGACAGACTTGGCTTTGTCCATTCCCGATGTTTTCCCGAAGCGGCAGGTCAACTACAGGCCAAATATTTAAGATACGTTATTCCCATGATGCATAGGTTCTGCTTGTTCCTTACTATTCTCTTCCATATCTTTGCACGCTGAGATCAAAAAATGAGATTCAAATATCTGGTTTTGCAGCTCTTATCGTTCTCTACATTGGGTCAAACTGCCTCCATCCGCACCCGGACCCAACCAGTTGCTACTATCAACAACGGAACCCTTATTGGAACTCAGAACCCGAAACACAACCAGGACCTTTTCTTGGGTATCCCATACGCGCAGCCGCCTCTTGGGGATCTGAGGTTCAATCACCCCCAGCCCATCAATCAGTCATGGTCTGAAAAGCAAGCAATTGCCTATGGTCCTTGGTGTCACTCTTCCCCTTTAACCCTACCGGGTTTCACGCAGACGGGCTTCGAGCATGAAGAAAGCGAAGATTGTCTAACCATCAACGTCGTGCGACCAAGCGGTGTGAAGGACGATGCTCGTTTGCCTGTTCTAACCTGGATCCATGGTGGTGGACTCCGGGAGGGATTTGGTGCCGATCAAAGATACAACATGTCTTTTCTCATCCAGGAATCTGTCAAGATGGGCCAACCGACCATTGGGGTCAGTTTTAATTACCGGCTTTCTGGTTTTGGATTCCTGCAGGGTCGCGCGGTCAACGAAGATGGAGTCGCAAACCTCGGTCTCTATGACCAGCGGCTTGCTCTTCACTGGATCCAAGAGAATATTTTGGCTTTCGGAGGTGACCCTTCCCGAGTTACGATTCAAGGAGAATCATCTGGCGCTGTGTCGGTTGGACACCACTTCGTCGCATATGGTGGACGTGACGATGGGCTTTTCCATGCAGGCATTGCTGAAAGTGGCGGGCCTCTTAGCACAAGTGCATTTATCTCTCTGGATCAGCAGGATCTCCTCTACAATGACGTTCTCAATGCAACAAACTGCATTGATAAAGAAGATACCCTTCAATGTCTTCGCTCCAGACCAGCAAGCACCTTGAAGGATGCTTTTCAAGGCGTCAATTATTATCCAGTTATGGATGGAGGGATGGTCACGGGTTTTCCTTCTGTTGCTCTGAGGGAAGGGAGCTTTGTGAAGCGTCCTCTCCTTATCGGGACTAATACAAATGAAGGAACTGCATTTTCAGTCACTGGCAGCCTCGGTGTGAACAATTCAGCTGACTTCCGGACAATGATTACCCAGTTCAGCGGAGGCAATGGTCTTACGAATACGACTGTTAACGCTCTCGTTGATCAATACGTCCACAAACTGTCTCCCGAAGAGGTACAGGCCGATCTCGGGACAGTCCTCCAATCCCCAAGTCCAAGATATGGTGCTCTCTACGGCCAAGTTACCCTATACATCGGAGATTTCATGTTCAACGCCGCTAGGCGGTACACTACCGAGCTGTGGGCTCGGTACGGGGTTCCTGCATATACCTATCGTTTCGATGCTGTGTCTAATGGGGTGCCGAATAAGATCCTTGGTGCCACACATTTCCAGGAAATTCCCTTCGTGTTCCGAAATTTTGATGGCGTCGGCCATCAGGTCAAGCCATTAGTATCAAATTCCACGGAATTGCAGCAAAAGTATCAGGATCTGAGCAGACTCATGAGCCGAATGTGGTTGAGCTTTGCGAACACACTATCGCCAAATGATCATCAAGGTAAGTTTACATCTGTGACACACCAGCTGCCAGCTGCTTTGCTAATACTGAAAAGTTCCGAGATTCAACGTGGCCTGGCCTGCCTACAGGAATGAAAGTGCAGAAAACATTGTCTTCCGTCTGAATGACACTCACTTGGAGCCTGACACTTGGAGGTCAAACGCTATTAGAAGTCTTGTTAGCTCTTTCCATGAGTTCAAGATTTAACTTTGTTGGTTGGGGGTTTTCTTTCTACCTGGTATTATAAACTATGCTTTGGCGACTTTGTGGCGGGTGTTTTAATATGAGACTTTGGAGTATTATTATAATTATTATTGAATCAAGTTTATTGTCCATACCAAGCCCTAAAGCCATGACAGACCATGCTCCATGGGCTAATTGGCCCCTATTAGTTTCTGGAAGCGCATTCCCGTCTTAACAACATTCTAATCCTTTTCCTCGCCCCAAACCGCTTATATATGCACAGGGCCTTCGAGCTCCCTGAGCTCTCCTTGTGATCGTCTAGCTGGGAGTTCCCTAGGCCATAGGCCTAGGCTACCCTCCCTGCTAGCCCTGTTCGGTCCGCTTCCTCTAGGGCATCTAAGTCCCGTTCATCGTCTCTTGAGGCTTGTTCTGCTGCACGTTGGATATGTCCTAGGGGTAAAGCCACCCCTTGGATCTAGACCTTGGGTCAATCTAGAGAGAATCGCCCAATATACCGACACCACTACCTTATCTGGCAGCCAATCGCAACACTCTCTGTTCAATCCAACCTATTAGCATATCACAATGTGCAAAAAAAGGGGGCCGAGAGGCCACCCGTAATCAAGTGCATCTTCTATCCTAGCTATGAGAGCGAGTGCGCCTTTAGCTGGACCGGGCCGGATCCGTTATTCCCTGACACCTGCACCGATGACATTTTCCTGTACGTATATGTCGGCATTCTTTCTTTTTGAGCGGGTGCACTGGATAGAAATCCAACCCAGCAAGCTCAGCAGGGTAACCAAAGAAGTTGTGGAGAGTATACATTCTTTTTTTCCACGAATTGAACCGATGCTGAGAAACTTACGCAGAATGATTACATAGGAAGCGCTGGGAAATGCCGATAATGGCACATGTATTAACCTCCTTGGAGACAGCATGAAGTTTTATATATCAGTCATGGACCTATCTATACATAGAGAGAACCATCGAGCTTTCCAGAATTATCATGCGTTTTTTTATTATTATGGGTTGTGCTACAAGACCGTGTGCCCATTACCACATAACTGTCTTGAAAGGCTTCTCAGTACCATTTGTCAAGTCATACCCTCTGAGAAAGAATTGTCAAGACTTTAATCTTTGTCACACGTTCCGCTAGTTAACTAACGTAATCGACCACCGAGGTTAGTTAACTATGCAAGCTGCTTACACCCCCATGGCCTATCACTTTGGGCCCCCACATAATCCACTGTGCTCCTCGTCTGGGTAAGCCAGAACAAATCTCTACAGCCATGTACTTGCTCCTTTAGAGTCTGGGGAAAAATAAACAGAGTACCTCGGAATGACATCTATTTCGGGAGCGAGTGATGATGTATTTCATAAAACACTGTCTTATCAAGAAACGTGGCTATTGGGGGCTGCGATAATCTCTGGCATTCCCTTTCATATCAGATATTTGCGGAATCCAATGGATAAAGGGTAAATTACCTCTATAAATAATTCTTTATTGGCGATTATCAACAGTAACCGAGAAAGCCCCAAATTGACCTAGCCATTAGGCGTCTACGCAACTACTCTCTTCTTAGTCGCGTGCTGTCTATCCTCGTTCCACTTTGGGGAATCTGGGGTTCCACGCAATTGGGAAGTTACAAAAATGGATATGGGTGATCCTAGGCTGTTCCGAGTTGATGGAATCGACGAATTACTGGTGACGACAACTGGGCGCCTAGTGAGTGGAAAAACATGTGAAGCTCCCTATTCTTGCAAAATATGGTCCGTAATATTCAAGTAATCAAACGCTGAAAGTGCAAAGAGAGTGAAAACTTACAAAGAAGACTGGCCTTATTTTAGTCATCATTCAGCCAAGGCATGGTAACTGCTCAGAAACTATAGTCGGGACGTGTTTCATACAATAAGAATGGTTCATATTTTAACCAGGGCTCAAAAACTATACAGGAAAAACAGGAGGCAGGAGAAATTCTTTCTGTCAGGAACACCGGGCCTCTACAAGTATACCAGAACAAATGTAACAGGAGATCTCCGGCGACATGCCAAATTCAGCCGAACGCAAAACGATGTGTGTCTAGCGCGGAAATAAATGGAGAGTGTAAGCAACATGCATGATAAGTCTCTTGGCATAACTTAGTCTATAAACTAAAGTTCTGACGGCTCTTTTTCGGGTTATGATGTTACGATGTAATACACGTCTACAAGTTATCGAGCGCACGTTTAGATAGACAAGCACTCAAGCATTTAACCAGCTGCGTGTGGGTATACGCTTTAATAGGCAATACACTTCTCTTGTTAAAACTGGATCTCTCCGTATACGACCTCGCTAGTCGCGGATAATCGACTCCTCCGGACCTCCGGCCCCCGATCCCCATTTCACAAGGGATATAAGTCTCGTCAACGCTGATGGCACATCCTTCCTCTTCTTCCTTCCTCATGTTGATTATTCTCGTCGATAGCTACCTAGGTAGAACACATGAGTTGATGTTCCATTATCCCAGCTGAGCTCCGTGACAGCTGGACTTAGTCAAGGAGTATCTCAGTATCTCTCTCCTGGAGAGACTGCTATCCTTGAACAAGCAATGAAGCCTGTTCCTTCACTTGGAAACCTCGAGCCTATTAGTGATAATGAAGAGGGTAATCAAGAGGATGAGGATGAACTTATCAACTTACTTCCTTGCAAGCTACAAACCAAACTGAGCAAGCACAACAAAAGCGGCCCCAAAGTGGGCGTACTGTCACGGGTTCGGAATAGTAGATAATATTGAATCAAAGTTACTATCTAAACTATTGTAGCCATCGACGAGAATCTTGAATCTGGAAAACGGAATCTATCTAGAAGAAGGAGAGGGTATTTATCTGGACGTGGGTTGATCTGTCACATATGATGTGTCTCGTATGATAACTACCTCATATGTGATACGTCTGAGAAAGTCTCTCCCGGTCCTATAGCGTTCGACCGTCAGAGGTGTTGGGCCGTCACACGTACACAGGATATAGATGATGAAGATAATGAGCTCCCACTCCCAGAAATGCCAACTATAGAGGGTAGCACGCAGGGACACTTAGGGAGGGTTTGAAAGCGGCCAAAGATGCGCAATGGATTTGTGGTTGATACTTTGTAAATATGATACTCAAAATTCAAGTCCTTACAATGGACTATACTACTAGTAAATATCTAAAAGAGGTCTTGTAACTTTAGTTGTTACACACTAATACTCCAAAATTACTAGTAAATCTATAACCTTTATGCACGCAGAAATAAGTCATGAGTCTAGGCCTAATTATATGTTCTATCATCTGCAAATTCTCCGCGGATATCATGCGGATCCTACTTCAACATCCTCATCCGCAAGCTGAGGATTTGCGGATCTCATATGATATCCACATCCGCAAATTGCGGAGCGGATGACACGACATCCACGGATTCTACGGATGCTGCCGCAGCCTAATGATGATGGTGACTATCCTCTACCTAATATACTACATGAAATGTGCCCATTTCCCTACCCTACCCGATCCGAATGCAACTCAAATTTTAAGATGGAAAACAAGGGTTTGGCAGCTACATAAGTGTCATGCGGGAGTCTCGAAGTAGTTAAACAAGCGATAATTATGCTAGTGCGGCCATCTTGCGGGTACCCATGGGCACCGGAGGATACCTGCAAAATTGCGGCCATGGGCATTGGATTGATACCCATAACCGCGGTTATGCCGCAGTCTAGTTCAGGACAGGAGTTTCGGAGTGCACGGGTCGGCCGGGGTCTGGGTTGGGATGGTGGTTAAAGTCACGACGGCCAAGCTGATGTGAACGCCGGCACCTGCGTGCAGATCGAGAAGCGAGCTACGCCGGAGGCAGCAGGCAGGGGGTGGTTCCAGGATGCCGCACAATGCAGCTGCTATTGCTTAGAGGAATGCAGTCTCAGCAAGCTCAGACACTAATATTAGACAATATTATTATTAAGGCGCTTGTTCAACAACTGAATGTATCCTGATCGACTGCATTCTATGATCTACTGCGTTCTATTTAATCGCCCATATCTAGTGGTTGTTGTCCTTCTTGGGGCGCCAGCCTCCGTCAATGTCGCCATTGTGGAAGAGCGCCCCTCGCCCGAGATCTCCTTGGAATAGCTTTTCCGCATTATGAGCCACATCCTCAACAGCAACGAGTCGTAGATGGCTCTTTCCATCCACCGCGTCGCTCCAGTCAGGAAGATTCTCGAATGAACCAGGGAACCCCTCCAGGTCTTCATCCGTGCGCGCGAGCGTGTTGATGTACCGGAACCAGATCAAGTTGCGAGTACGCCGATTCTTGCCTCCTTGCAGGTTCCCCATGCAACTCGTATCACCAGCACTCCCCGTATCCTGGAGTCCCACTATCGAGATGACGTCTCGACTGACGTACTGCATGAAGTATTCCTTTGGCGTCATGCGCTTGCCTCCCGTGCCGGGGAACTTGTCAAAGCCGTATCTCCAGGTATTGTAGGAATCGCAGGAGTTTCTCGAAGTTTCGATGTCTGGGAGACTAGGACGGTCTTCGGTGAAGTACATACATGATGATGGGTCGCCGTGGATGTACCGAACGTGGACATTGTCAGGGGGATCGTTACCCAGAGCCGAGTACCGCTGGGAAAGCTGACCACCACCACCGTGGCCAACGACGGTGACGTTCTTCAGGTTCGGATACTTCTCCTTGTCTGAATGGAGCTTGAGGAGGCCGTCCAAGACATCGAGAGAGGTAAGGCTTGTATTTGCGGGATGATTAGCCTGGCCACCTGGTTGCCAAGCGTTCAAGTCGTCCCACGCCAGCTGATTCTTTTTGTATTGGCCAGAGTTGAATTTAGTTGAGAAAAACTGCGGGGCGAGCACTGCCATTTTGCGGTCCGTTCCAGTGAAGTTGTCGTCTCTGGCCTCGTTGATGGCGTTGTTCAGCATCTTCCAGTAGCCGTTTCCATCCCTTAGCCTCCCGTGGAGAACAATAAAGAGATGTTCGATGGTCTTCTCGTCCAAATCCTTTGAGATGAAACCTGCGATTTCCTCGTCGCCCTTCTCATTAACATTGAATGACGTGAACTCAGCGCCATCTGGTATGTCGATCACGCCGTGGTCCTGTTGTCAAACTAGTTAGCTGGTACTGTGACGTAGCAGCCAATGAGTCCTGACTTACCTCTCCTTCCTCGCTCTTATCATGTTGGATCATAGCCTCAGCTTCCGCAGAATAAATGTCCTGTTCGCCCGACACACGGACATCTCCATAACGGCTCTGGCTGTATCGGAATGCAGAACAGTAGGGCACTAGGACTGCCAAAAGGGCTGCCCAAACCAGCGCCCGGAATGTCAGGGTGGGGGCCATGGTACAATTCGGCAAGATCTTCGGATGAGACTTCCAGAGACGTTAGCTCCTGTCTTTTGTCGATGAAAAGGGCTCATAGGTTGCTGGTATTGTCCAGTGCTTACCTTTCTGATTTTGCTGAATGCGGTTGGTAACGATCAGATTAGGTCCAGGTTGAAGAGGAGGGACGAGTAGGTATTTAAGATATTGGGCTTGGCAACCTTGATGGAAATTTAAGGTTGGTCCCTAATGATCGCTGATATCGGTCCGTGGCTCGACCTCGGTCACGAGCTTGACCAGAAAGGGGAAGCAATTGGAGCATGATCTTCAAGGATTATGTCAATCCATGACAATAAATAAACCACAAGAATCCGGCGCGCACGTGCCGTTCAAGCGAAGATGGCGGTGTATAGGTTATGATGGCATTGACATAGCACCCAGGCGCTACCGGATGGTTGTCGAAGCTCGTCACTAGAAGGATTGTTGATTCCAACTTGGCATACGCCGTGGCCCGACGGACATTGGCAGGCAATACGCATTGTGGTGTAGGGAGCCGTTCCAAGACCAGTTCTCACAATACGTAATGCGGGCTTATCTCAACACATGTCTCGGGGTGTGTGTTTCCCACAAACCCACCACGAAACTTGTTTGATTCATGAACATCAGCGGTGGGGGATTTCCAATGCCAATTGTGACGAGCCCCTGAAGCTCCCACAGCCGTGGGGTTGTTCAATGAAGATCAGGGGGTATGGAACTTTCGATACCCACTGTGGCGACTGACTGAAGCTCCTATAGCTATGGGTTGGATCAATGAAAACGTGTGACCCAGCACATGACGCCCAAAAGCTCCCACAGCTGTGGGATTGATTGATGAATATCAGCGGCAAGAAACTTTAAATACTGGAAGGTCCGAAGGAGGACTAAAACAGGTTAAGTTGGCCCAAAGGACAGCCCAAACAGGTTAAGCTAACGGCGCGTCTAAGCTGATAGGCATGGAGGTGATGTGCTTTGATTTGGGCGTGGGCCATGACGTTTCGGAAGAGGTATATCTATCGTCTTGTAGATCATGCGGAGTTGCCGATATCGCTGCTGCGGCTGTGTTTGTGATGCTGGATACGGGGTGGGGGATGCGCGATTCTCACGAGTCAGGCTCAATCCTCCGGAGTCGGGATGGCATGAAACTGGCGCCATCCCCAGACCCGAATGGGGCCCCAACGGGCGAATATTACGGCAAGACACCAATGACATTTCTATCAAAAGTTAGGGTCGCATTTTCTCGTCCAAAAATACATAGTGTTTTATAGCCGTACGCCATATCGTACCAATGTAACGAGGTTGATTGGTGTGGTGTTGCTGTACGCAACATAATTCCCGCGGGATCTACGCTCTGATCTTAAAAGTCATTCGCCTTGTTTTGATTTGATTGTCGTAATAGTATTCTAACCGAGCCGTCCACAGTGATTGCGGCGCGGTTGGCTCACAGGCGCAGCGATTAGGACGATCTAGTTATTTGCCAAGCCACTGTGCCAGGAACACGCGTAGTTGGTGATCCGTCCGGAACCACCTGGATGATGGAGACACTAGGCAAGTGGGGTGTTTGGCTGATCAGGCCTAGCCAAAGGCGCTTCCTACTCTTTACACTCAACCAACCAGTCTGATATCCTACCTTGATATTGAAAGTGCTGCGTTCATTGCTCTAGTTCTCTATCTACAGATATGTAGACAAGACGCAGCTCAAAGAGCTGCAACAGGGCCGAGGTCAGCGCGGGGGAATCTCGTGTGAATCACATGTTATGTTTAGATAGCGGGCTGGCAGGTTAAGGGAAGATCTGTTTGGGGCTATAGATGCCAAGATCGCTCGGTGTTTTGAAGTTGGAAAAGACAGCCAATAACCAGTGGCTGTAGCATGCCATTAGATTGGAAGGGTTTCAAAGAATTGAGATTGCGCGGCGCTGCGTGACGGGTGATGGCTCACCTTCATTTATAGCGCACTCACCCTAACTCACCCCTGGTCGCGCGACCGAAAAGCGGCATCACCCTTTAACTCACCCGGGAGGCATCTACCGAACTATTATCCGCAGTTGAGCCCACACGCCGGCCGGTTAGTAGTTGGGTGAGTGACCACCAGCGAATCCCGGCTGTTGTATGTTTTTGTCTATATATATATATATATATTTCTTTGCTGCTTAAGGGTGATGGCCGGGTGAGCACTAGTTGGGTGCAGGTAATTGAGGTGATGCCTTTAGAGTCGATAGTCAACCCAACCGAGAGAGAAGCACGGTTTATTAATATCGGTCTGATTGCCACAGTTTCGGCTGGGTTACTTTGGTTGAATCTCCGGCAACATTATGCGGAGTAGAAACGAAAGTGGAATTCATCTGGCCCCACACAAGGACTACAGAAAAGTAATATTCATCAACGAAGGTTTGATTGGCTAGACTGTACTCTGTACTTTCAAAACCCTAAATTTAGTACCAAAGCCCATCATTCGGCTTGATTCCCTTCCCCTTGCAATATTCATAGTACAGATGTGCATAACTAAACAGGGCCATCGTGTTCTTCAAGCTATCATCATCATGAAAATACTCCAAGCTGCCCGAAACAGTGAAGATGACTTCAGCACCCTTGCCCATATGCAGGGTATGGATTGTTCCGGGATTCTCAACCACATAGTCACCTGGTCGCGCAATCCAGTCGTACCTATATAGTAACACCATGCATAAGCAATGAGACACGAGGAGCAAAAAAGGGGGTTGTCTTACTCTTTATAATTCCATTCCTCCTTCAGAGTAACAGCAGTCACATTACCGCGGTGTCAGTGCTTACCTAGCCAAGTGTCCTCTTTTGCACGGAGCACGAGAACGAATGTTCCCCAGCGCGTTTCGAAGCGCAGAGGCTTTATTTCCAGATTGTTGACCCATGGGTGCCAAAGGGTGTCCTGCTCGCCACTAACGTAGACGTCCGGAGAGCTGTATGTGTCGGCGAGTCGCAGCTCGGCTCTGTCCAGAGATGAGAGTTCTGAGGCTGTGTTGTCGAGGAGGTTGCTGCTCTTTTTTGGGGCGGAGTGCTCGGTGGCATGGGGTCGGTTGTTGTCATGTTGCTGGTAACGGAGGGAGCCATGCTTGTGATGATGTGAATTGGATTTTGGTATCTGCAGTTGAGATAATCAATCTGTTAAAGGGCAATCGAACCGAAAGCTGCTTGAAGTTCCACCAATTCTCGGTGTTTTTACCGAGGACAGGACTTCGGTATTCTATCCGATATTATATATGGACATCATTAACCGATCTCTATAAAAAGTACAAATAGGGCATAGATTATGAATCTTCAGCTTTCCTGGATAAAAAGTCGAATGACATTCATTCTTTACACGAAGTGCGATAAAAATGGCCCAACAATACCTCAAAACCCGCGCTGGTCTCTCAGACCAAAACACATCCCCGTCCGTCGACATCTCTGCCATCGTCAAAGGCGTCGATGAAATCTTTTTACTAGGCAGTGTTCAAGCCGTGGCTGCCATGGCCGTGGGTACTGAGAGCATCCACAAAGTCGACTTCCTCGTAGGACCTGGCAATGTGTTTGTGGCCGAGGGCAAGACACAGCTCTATGGCGAGATTGGAATCGATCTCTTTGCAGGCCCTACGGAAATTCTCATCCTCGCCGACGAGACTGCCGATGTCTTCACCATTGCCACAGATCTGGTTTCCCAGGCAGAGCATGGCCCGGACACACCGGCCGTGTTGATCACGGCCTGTCCTGATCTCGGGCGCAAGACGGTTGAGATCGTAGACTAGCTTCTGACAACCTCAGACCTGTCGACGGCGGCGATTGCAAAAACTTCATGGGATGCCTTTGGAGAAGTCATCATCGTGAACAGCATGGATGAGGTGTGGGCTTTGGGAAATGAGTATGCGAGCGAGCATGTGCAAGTCTTTACTAAGATCCCGCGGGATACGCTGGAACGAATGACCAATTTCGGGGCTCTATTCCTGGGCGAAAGGACGTGTGTATCATATGGAGACAAGGTAAGTCCTTACCCAGCTCTATTTTTCGAGGTACACAAAAACTTACATCCCCTAGGTAATCGGCACTAACCATGTCCTCCCTACCAGGACAACCGCTAGATATACTGGGAGTCTCTGGGTCGGCAAGTATTTGAAAACTTGCACCTATCAAGAGGTTACCTCCGAAGAGGCCAGTGGAAACCTAGGACGTCTTTGCGGACGGGCTGCGCGTGCAGAGAAATTTGAGGCACATGCGCGGTCTGGCGATTTGCGGGCCAGTAAATACATGGACGACGATTTTGGGTGGATTGAAAAAACTCGGAGATAATAATTTCGAACCCTTCTATATGAAGTTAACTTGGGAAGGTGATATGGGAAGCAGTTTTTGCTGACGTATACCTCGAAGCGGTCTCTAGTATTACGCAAAGCCTAACCTATATATAAGAAACCAATAGAAACCAGAGAGTCCAATTGCGTAACTATCCCACGTTTAACAGCCTTCTTGACCTTCTCACAGCTTACTTGGAATAAAGTATGGAATACCCTTCATCTCATACAAGTCCTTGTGCTGAGCCTTGATAATGTCGGCACCCTAAATTTCATTCGTCAGTCGTGCCATGCTTTGGAAAGAAATAGGTTTGGTCTTACCTTTTCGCCAATCATGTACACTGAGTTTTGAATACGGCAGTCAGGAATGACGGGCATAACAGAAGCATCAATGACGCGAAGGTTCTTGACACCGTGAACACGGAGCTTGGAATCAACAACACCTTGGTGAACGCTCTTCGACAGACGTGCTGTGCCACAAGGGTCTGAAACACAATTAGTAACCACAGCGGATGAATAGCAGATTGTTAGATACTTACGGAACCCAGTCTGACTCCGCTCCAAAACGGCTTTGTTCATAGCCTCGTCGGAATGGATAGGCATCTCCCAGGGATACTCCCCGACGACAATGTCCTTGAATCCCTGGCCATTTAGAAGAACATCATAGGTCCATCGGACACCCTCGCGCATAGCCAAGATATCCAGATCGTTGGCGAAAAAGTTCAAATTGATGTTGGGGTCAACAAGCGGATTCGCGCTGTTGAGCGTGACCTCGCCTCCTTCAGACACGGGGCGCAGAAGGTCCACAATGACCGTCATGTAGTTACCCTCCTTCGGCACAGGGTAGTGCCACTGGAACGCAGTGCTGAACATGCCCACAAAGTCCAACTCGAAATGCGGTTGGCCGCCTGGTCCAAATGGATCAAGGCCATTATTTGCTGCTTTGGTTTCACGGTAGGCCGGATATTTGTTCAGACGCTCGTCGATTCGGGGGAAGCCCACGAGTTCCAAAAGGCCGGATGCTGCTGGGCCGGTCTTGTCTCGTCGGTAGGCGGCAACTGCAGCTTCGTTGGAAGGTCCCGCTCGCAAAAGGTGGTCGTCAAGCGTGTAGCCATCCTTCAATCGTAGGACAAAAGGGACGATAGGATGGTCAAGCAAGTGCTTGCCAACATGCGGGGAGTCAAAGACAGTCTTGATTCCGTGTTGGGCCAATTCTGCTGCGGGGCCGATGCCGCTAAGCAAAAGCAACTTTGGAGTCTCAAAGACGCCCTGAGAAACGATGACTTCCCGGTCCGCATAGAAGTCGTGTTCGGTGTCGGTCGATGGATTGACGACGGAGACACCCACACATGTGTTGCTCACGCCATCGATCAATAAGCGCTTGGTATTGCAGGACGAAAGAATAGTAACGTTTGGCTTGTTTTGCAGATAGAGGAAGCTGCCCTGGCGCTCTCCTTTATAAATCGTATCCACACAGTGAGTGAGGCCATGCATCTCACCCGAGTAAATATCCTCTGAGAGAGGCTCACCCTTCGACACCCAGGCACTTGTCAGTGCTTCACGGAAAGGTTGGAGCTCCGGGACAAGCTCCGCATGGGCAATCTGAACAGGACCACCAGTCCCGATCTTGTCGAGGTCGGACGGGTACAGTTTCTCATCATCGTGATAGGTCGCACATTTCCGGAGATAATCGACGCAGTTGTCCCAGGTCCATTCATCACCGCCAAACTCAGCCCAGTCATCAAAAGTGGCTTTGGATCCAGGGATCCAAGTGAAGTAGTTAGCACAGGAGCTGCCACCGAGAATCTTGCCGCGGGTGTTTGGTTTCTCGGTGCGCTCGTAGTCGTCTCGTTTGACCATGGCGCTCTTGTAGGCCCAGTCATACTTGCTTCCTCGGATTCCGAAGGACTTGGATGGGGTGGTGATGTCTTCGATTTGGTGCGGGTTTGCAGTGCCGGCCTCGATGACTAGGACGCGGACGTTGGGATTTTCAGCCAAACGGCCAGCGACGGCGTTTCCAGCAGTGCCGCCGCCGGCAATGATGAAGTCAAAATGGGAATTGTTTGTAGTGGTAGCCATTGTACCGAGGGAAGAATTCGGATTTCTAGTATGGTGAAACTGAATGATAGATGTAGTGTTGTCCTCGAGGGGTCCCTCGATTTATATAAATACTTCTTTTTTCCATGGAATGAACAGTCGTATAGAGTCCGTTTCCCTCTATGCTTGCTGCTTGTGAGGAGGTAGCCGACTTCCGTGTGCATTTCATTCTCTCCTCACCGTTGAGTTACTGTTCCATACATCCAATGGGATAATGACAGTCTTACTCATACTACTAATTTCCATGACGGGCGAGATCGCCCCACAAAAAAAAAACAAGCTTCGAACATTCCGTGAAAATCCCAAGCTAGACGCGTCGGTACGGTGAAAAATCGGAATTCGCTCGGAGTACAACTTGTCCCTCGCCGAGAGGTCAATTAGTATTTCCTCTTTCAGAATGGCTGTATTTATGATCCACGGCATGTATTGTGAGAGGAATCCTGTTGAAAATTGTGGATCTTCATGCTATGTATGGGTGTTTGCTCTTCCCTAATGCACCCACAGAATGAACGGAATGAGTAATCTTCCATGCTTCCAGAAATGCTATTCCCCTCACGGGACGACAATGAATAATTATAGATGAGGGGAATATCAAAGCAGAAGAAGATCTTTCTCCGCATACGTATTTGATATCATCAGGGTAGTTACGGGATACCGGCGTGTGTGTCCGAATTCATCCCGACATCTCAACCCTCTTGGAGAAATCACTGATATGCCACTTAGAGAAGAATGTTTTCTAATACAAATGGTTGTGGTATCGGGACATCGGCGCATGACGAAAAGATATTGGCTTTTTCGGGGCTGACATATCTGAGTATCGATGTGAGGAGACAAGAAATCTATATATAAACAACGTATGTCTAGGCTAAAGTGAGAGAAACATTTATGATCCTTATTCTCTCAGAACTTCAGGTTTTATCATTTTTACTTCCTCGCAGCAATCATACAAGCCATGAAGCCCGCTTCTACCTTTACCTTGGGCGAAGGTAAGGAAACATCCTACTACTAGCACATCTATCACTAACCTTGCCCTTCCCTTCTCCAGGACAGCCCCTTTCAGACCCTGCAGTTAGCACGACCCTCCCAACCTTTGGGGGAGGTGGTCTGGTTCCGCTCCAAGACACGCTACTCCTCGAGACTTTAGCCCATTTCAATCGTGAACGGATTCCAGAAAGGTAATCTCATGACTTGGAACCTAGTCTAATAAACTCCCTCGGTTAACCCATGTAGAGTCGTCCATGCCAAAGCAGCCGGTGCTTGGGGTGAATTCGAAGTCACTAATGATATTTCCCACTTGACCGGGGCCAAATTTCTCCAGGGCGTTGGAAAGAAGACACCGGTTTTATGCCGGATCAGTACAACTGGAGGTGAAAAGGGAAGCCCGGATACTGTTCGAGATGTCCGGGGGTTCTCTGTCAAGTTTTATACCGAGGAAGGAAATCATGATATTGTGGGAAACCATGTGGTATGCTGGAAACGGAATTCTTTTCATGGGAAAGAATCTGATGATGACTTTAACAGCCTGTTTTCTTCGTCCGGGATCCTGTCAAGTTTCCTTCAGTAAACCGCAGTCACAAAAAGCATCCGCAGTCTAATACTCCCGATGGAAACATGGTAAGCATTGGTCTCAGTTTTTTTTTTTTTTTTTTTTTTTTTTATTCAGCTAAAAGATACACCAGTTTTGGGACTTCCACGTCCACAACCCCGAAAGCGTCCATGCTCTAGTTCACCTCTTTGGATCTCGTGGCATCCCAGCCTCAGTCCGCCGCATCACAGGCTTTGGTGTGCATACCTTCAAACTAGTTGCCCCCGACGGATCCTTCAAGTACTGCAAGTTCCACCTCCGTCCGCTGCAGGGAGTAGGCAATGTGTCCTCCAATGAGGCCACGCGCCTTGCCGGTGTGAATCCGGATTTCCATACACAGGAGCTGTTTCATGGAATTTCTCGAGGGGATTACCCGTCGTGGGGTTTGTATATCCAGGTTATGGACCCGGAGCAGGCTGAGAGACATGGGTTGGCGATGTTTGATATTACCAAGGTTTGGCATCATAAAGACTTTCCGTTGATTCCTGTTGGGAAGATGACTTTGAATAAGAATGTAAGTCTCTTTCCTGATTTTATCCTTGCCTCTTCGATCCATTTGAGCCGATATTAATGAATAACAGCCGACCAACTACTTCGCGGAAATCGAACAAGCAGCCTTTTCACCGTCCAACATGGTTCCTGGCATAACCTCCTCCCCAGATCCGAGTAAGTATTGGCTTCTTTGAGGTCGTGGAAGATTATCTAACATCATGCAGTGCTCCAAGCACGCATGTTCGCATACCCAGACGCCCAAAGATACCGCCTCGGCGCAAACTACCAGCACCTACCCCCCAACAAACCAATTGTTCCAGTGAACGCTCCCTACCAACGTGACGGCGCGGCCACAATAACTCCCAACTACGGGGCAGCGCCAAGTTACGTTCGCAACGGATCCACGCCCCACGGCATTAGGAGCGAGTCTGTATCGACTGCACAAGCGGTGCGACATGATGAGTGGCTTCGAGGGGGAGCCGCTCTGGGACTAAATGAGATTCCGGATACTGAGGATGACTATGTGCAACCGAGGGAGTTGTGGAGGAGGGTATTCGATGATGCGGAACGGAGGCTGTGGGTTTCGAATGTTGCGGGGAGTTTGGAGGGGGTTTCGGATGACTTGAAAAGGGGTGTTATTGAGATGTTTGGAAGAGTGGATTCGGAGATGGGGAGTATGCTTGTGGCGGAGGTCAAGGAGACTGCTAGATTGTAAGACGTGTGATGCTGGTCTATAATGGACAGTCAAATAACCCTAGATTTCACTGATAATGCAAATAACAATGTCTACTTGGGCACAAAATTGTTCCTGGGGTCAAATCCCAGACCATGTATGTATTGATTTTCTGAGATTGGAAACATTCGCAACCAGGAATGGTACAGTATGGATGGATGGATGATATCATTTACCCCGACCCCTCGCCGAAGCGATATGCAGGCTACCACAACTATATATGTCTTTGTACCTCTAGTTACATTGTCCCACTACATCCCGACGAATTTAGTGCCTCGTCATGACCTGTGGTGGCCTATGTGCCTGGTGTGCTGTTCTGCGGCCCTCTTGGCGTACGGCTTTGAAACCTTTGTGATGCTTCTGCAAAATCCAGGACAGCACTAATTGTGCTTGCCTGGGCAGAGCCATCTAGCCTACCTTCCTTACCTTCTTGCCCTCGTCCTCCTAGCATGCGCGAGGTATTATTGAATGCCTCCTCAACCTTCTTTCATAATTCCTGACGCAGCTCCATCAACCTGGGGCAGTCCACAAGAACATGGACCACTGTTTCTTTTGCGCCGCACTCACATTCCTCATCTTCTCGTAGCCGATGTAGCTTCCCATGTGTTGCGAGCCATGAGTGCCCAGTGCGCAGCTGAGTGAGCAGATAGGCCCAGTTCCGTGGCAGTGAGCCGTACATCCGTCGGGTATGTATTGAAGGCAGTGCGGAGTCGATTTGGTGGAGGTGGCCCTCTTTCTTACATGCTTTCCATTCCTGTTCCCATTGCTTAAGGATTTGGTTTCCGATGGATGTTTTCTCGCATGAAAGCGGGCGACGGAAGGGGTGCATTCCCTCTGGGCCAACCGCATCTTTGGCCGAATGGTACAGTAGTTCCCGAAATCAGCTTGCCCCCCGAACACTTTTGGTTTGTTTCCCAGACCCTACCCTCTACACCATCCCTGTTCTCACAGTATTGTACTCCTTTGTAAAATTACAGGACTTGTTGTATATTACCAGTATGAGCAATACAACTTTCTCTAGAAGGTTCTGTGCAAACTGGGAAGACAACCTAGCCCAAGCAATCTGGAAGTCTGCCAAAATCAGTGCTTCATCTTTGCACTTGTGGCGGCTCAGCGCTGTACAAACGGCTGATATAGACATACAGCGCCAACATGTCAAATGACGCCATACAAGCAACCTGGGCAAACAAGGGGCTTAAGCCTTATCGCACAGGTGTCTATTGAGACCATTCGTCGCCTAAATAGATTTCCTTTTCTTCTTTTCTTCTTCAGACTCGATATTCTCGTCGATGGCTACATTAGTTTAGATAGGAATATCTTTTTGTTAGTATCTACTACCTAGTCTGAGCCCATGACACTTTTGACACAATAAAGCGCGTCAGTTACTTTACAGTTTGGTATTAAACAATTAGACTTTCGGGATCGGGAGAGATTCGGGGGTAACCAAAGGTGCTACTCTCACCCTATCCAATCAGACCTCGCCATAGCCCGCCTGTGGGCGAGTGAGGAGATCCCGCAGCCCACCCATGAGTTTCGTGAGATTTGTCAATGACACTATAAGATGGCGCATAATTACTATAATTAATTTCCATCAAAATGCCTGCTGGCTGAAGATGAGCTTTGTCACAATGTAATATCATGAGAACGATGATGATTAAAAGACTTTCCAGCTGAGGTTCGAGTTCATTTAGGCCTGAACAACCAATGGAGTTCTCACATCTGTTGAGATTGGGCGATCAGCCAAAGCACTGCCCCCACAGAATAGCCGCCAACAGGCTGAAAATTGTTTGGTGTTTTCATTCTTTGTGGCCATTTCCTCAACCACTTTCATCCATCATTTCAAGCATCATGGCAGGAAATGATTGTTTGTCACGGTTCAATATTTTTCACCGCAATAAACAGCCAAAGCAAAAATTTCCCAATGGAGAGAAAGCCAATCATCATGACCCTGTTCTGCTACCTGATAACGCTGTTAGAAAACCCCCCACAAAGACAGAATTGACTCAAGCCCCTCAAACCGAACCACAGACTCAAAATGCCCAATGCATGCCTATAGCAGGTCATGAGCAAACAATGACACCCTCCACCAGTGATACTACCCATGAGGATTCAGCTTCAAAAAAACTGACCGCCCTGATTGAGCCTAAACTACTCTGGGACAGAGCGTACGACAGCCTCAGAGAGGACCAGCATGGGTTGGTGGAAGCTTATGAAAAGGTTCTGTCTTGTGAACTTGCTACACCTACTGCTTCCTCCATACCTGTCAATCAGCAAAACGTGATCGAGCAGAAAGATACAGAGACACGATGATCTCAGATGAGACAGCTTGTTGACCAGTGTGACGGTCTCGAGCAATATGAGTATATTGGTAGATTATCTGACAAAATTCTAACATGAGGAGAGAAAAGGAAAGAGGCAGGCCTGCCGGCGACGAGCTATCTAATGTGTGCGAGGGGTTTAAGCGAGGCTCAGTGACTGTCCATGCTCAGTGAATGTCTATGCTCCGTGACAGTTGGCGCTTATGTTGACCACAAGGTTTCTGAACTAGCCGCACTGAAACAATATAACAGCCAGCTTCAGACTGATGTGCGGGACTATCTGCATACAAACTCATCTGGCACATATCTATGGGTGGCTCTGGCTTGCAAACAGCTGGAGAAAACCATGAACAGGAAAACACTCAAAGTGCTCGAGTCATTTCCACCTGGACTGCAACCTTTCTACCGACAAATGATTGAACAAATCCACGTGCAGTGTGACAGTGATGACTTGGAATTATGTAAACAAGTCCTTGGCGCCAGTACACTTGCATACCGACCAATACACCTGGCAGAGCTCACCTCTATTGCCTATCTGCCTGATTAATTCCACAGTGATCAAAACGCATTGAAAGAGCTAGTTGGCCTATGTGGCTCTTTCTTGATCATCCGTAATGGAGTCATATATTTTGTTCACCAATCAGCAAAGGACTACATTGTGGAGTATGCAAGAGCTGAGATATTTCCTCATGAGCGCACAGAAACACATGACATGATAGTATCACAGTCTCTCAAATCCATGTCATGGATTCTAAAACAGGATATTTATTCTTTGCAGCACCCTGGATTTTGCATTAAAGATGTCCAACCACAATCGGGTGACCCGCTTGCACCAATTCGATATGCATGTGTATATTGGGTTGACCATCTTCATGAATTGGGAAGTCATAGTGGGATGTTCCTCCATAACAATGGAATGGTTGATGCTTTTCTCAGAGAACATCTTCTCCACTGGCTGGAAGCCCTCAGTCTAATAAAGAGCATGTCAAGCAGTGTGTCTGCAATAGCTAAGCTTGTCAGTCTGGTCACAGTCAGTTGCTCCTTCCCACAATTGAGCTATATAAATGCTAACTTATTCAGAGTCTGTCGCAAGGGTCTAAACTTTTTGAGCTAATCCATGATGTCCATCGGTTTATTTTGTTTAACAGAGGTGTCATTGAAATTGCACCATTGCAAGTGTATCATTCTGCACTTATTTTTAGCCCAAGCCGCAGCTTGACACGGGGTCTTTTTCAGCATGAGGAGCCAGAGTGGGCCAGCGCAAAGTCATCTATAGATTCCACATGGGGCGCCTGCCTCCAGACCCTGGAAGGCCATAGTCATTCAGTCAACTCAGTGGTCTTTTCCGCGGATGGGACTCGCATTGCCTCCGGGTCTGGGGATCAGACAGTCAGGATCTGGGATGCCGGCAATGGAGCCTGCCCCCAGACCCTGGAAGGCCATAGTGGTCCGGTCAGCTCGTCCGGGTCTATCTGGGATGTCGGCAATGGAGCACCTCAGCATCACAATTTTGGTTTGAACACTGACAGAACATGGATCACCCACAATGGTCATAACGCGATCTGGCTGCCATCAGAGTACCGCCCGCCGATTTACGGCCCAACATTAGCTATTACATCAAGCATGATGGTCATTGGATGTCAATCAGGTCGGGTTCTAATATTTGATTTCTCTAACAAGGCGTCTTGAGGTATTCTCCAATCCAGTCTATAATAATCTATATTTCTGATCTCTTTACAAAAGGAGGGTCTGGGAGTGCTATCCTATATATAACTTTTGCCACTTTGCCACTTTAATCGATTCTCATCTGCTCGCCACCGAGTCTGCAGCGAATTCTGGCAGATTTTTAGATCTTTCAGGCTGGGGCTTTTTTTTTTTTTTTTTTTTTTTTTTCCTTTTGGTGCACAGAACCTTCTAGAGAAGCCGCATTGGTAATACACCAAGGCTTGTAACATTACGGTATTGTACCATACCATTAGAGCAGGTGACATTGAGGGAGACCACATATGGACTAGTGTGTTTCACGGTAGGGTTCAGAAAACAAACCAAGAGTGCCCGGGGGGCAAGCTGGTTTCGGGAACTACTGTATAGCAAGACCGCTTGGAAGGGTGATAGGTACATCAAGGAGCATAGATAGTGAGGGATCGATAGGAAAAGATCGAAAAGGAGGACTGTGAGAAAGAATTGATTGTTGGATATTCGAACCGTGGTGGTGTGCCGAAACGGGAACTAATCTCGGCCCGATGGCGATCCCGCCCAAAAGGGCTCCCGAGCCCTATCCCACAAACTCCCAAGGAACACCCCAAATCTTCTCGCAGGAGGCCTTTCAACCAATGATCCCACTCACAAGGAAACGCCGGAGACATGGCACTGATACAGCCATTACACCGATCTCGAACCCTGAATTTGCCTCCTCTGGGGAAAGCAATGGACGGGTTACAAACCAGGAGATCTGACAGCTCATCCACAACTTCCAGGAAACTCTCGCACGCCAAACAGGGATTATAGAGTCAGCAAGAGCAGAGATACAAGAGATCAAAAACGAACAGCAGGCACTAAAAGGCCAGAACACAGAACTACAAGAGGAGATTCAGGCCCTCTGTACGCAGATTGAGGCGCCACCAGTGACCAACTCCCCTGCTAAGACATGGACAAATGTAGTAGCAAACACTACCAGTGCTGCAGCTCCAGCTATCCAACAACCCCAAAAGGAACCCCACTGCGTCCGCATCAGTACGCAGCGCAACCCTGAGACTGAAAACAATGAAGGAACCCAGTTTACACGATACCTCCCCACAGATATGGCCAACACGCGAATCAGGTCTGCTCTCCTGAATGCAGACACCACCAGAGACGCGCAGGTAGCGGGAGTAGGAACCACCAAAACAGGATATGTTATCAGATTCAGGGACCCCCAGTCGGCCGAAGTGGCCTGAACCAACATGGAATGGCTAGGGGAGCTGGGCAATGACATGAAGCTGGTGAAACCGCGCTTCGGAATTGTCGTCCACCGCACCCCTACCGACGACTTTGACCTGGAAAGAAGCAAGAAGCAAGGGATCGAGAAAATCACAGAGGAGAACGAGCTGGCCGGCAAAGGGTACCAAATTGAAGATATCGCATGGCTGAAGAGGAATGACAAGCCTCTGGGAACATCAGCATCTCTGGGCATCTAGCTCGACTCACCAGAAGCGGCAGAATGGATCATCAACAATGGTCTACTGGTGGGACAGAGATACATTGGCAGCATCACATCGGCAAAAGTGGAAACCGTTCAAAACACAGCGGCGGTACTGCCGCTATGTCGCCGCCACGATTTGGCCGCCGCGACATCTCGAACCATGTCGGTCCGCGGCGGTACCACCGCGATGCTGCTGCTATAGCCTGTCTCTGTTACGGACATAGGGCGGAACGCATGTATATTAGACAAGCACCGAAGGTCTACTGGCACTAGGCCGAAGTAGTAATAGTGCGGTCGTAACCCGTTTAGGTACAGGGCCGCCCGGAGCGGGCATGTGACCCTGACATTCCTTAGGGAGACCGCTGGGCGAACGTTAGAGAGACCAGCATTCAGTCTAATCACCAATGGGACTGGCTATTACTACCGAAGTTGTTACATACATATACTACCTCCATATACACTCTATCACGCTTCTACCATAGTTTACCCCCGCCGGGTGGACGACCAGTTTAACAAGACAGACCATGGTTCTAGGATCATTTGGTCTCAGCACCTAGTTATGTATAACTATTAGTTAACTAGCATAAATGGAGTTTTTCGTTTGACATGACCTCCAGAGAGTGAGTGGATTTGCTCTAATCAGGGTCTAATTAAGCCTTCTTCTTGACAAGCACACCCTGAATCCTAGGCAGCAAACTAAACGGTTCTTCAGGTTCTTCAATTTCGTGCAAATTTTCCCACTCTCCACTGTTGAGAATGTCCGCCAACACATTCCGGGTCAAATGACACCCGACAAATGTGCTCCAGGCAGGATCCCAGCAAGCTAAGGTTTCTTCATGTTAGCCGGTCTGCACCACTCGTCGGTCCCTCCACTAGAGACAAACATCTATAGAGTCCACCCAGAAAAGAAGAAAGGTTGGCAGAGACAGAAATACCTTGCGCTACAGTCGTCAAACGGTTTCTACTCCATCCGTGTTCCCAGAATATAAACTTGCCTCCAGGTTTGAGCAGCTTCCACACCTCCTTCATCACGTTCTTCGGATCCTTTACGGCACACAGGACCTGGATGCATAACACGGCATCCAAACTCCCGTCCGTGATTCCCTCTTCTCTCAGAACATCGCTATCTTCAACGCCACAAGCTATAAGCTTATACCTATCCCGCAGGCTATGCTTGTCCAAGTTGGCATCTATGTTGTCTTTAAAGTGGGGATTAGGTTCAACACCATAGACATGTTTGACAAGAGAGGTATCATAACGATGAATCTGATTGCCTGGCCCAGGGCCCAGTTCGAGAACAACGCCGCCAGCGGCTTGTACGAGCGAGGGAACAATGGTTGTGTCTTCATAAGCGATAAAATTGCCAGCTGCGCATGATGGTCAGTCTACTCTGTACACAAATTGAGTGAGGGAAGATATGGCGAGTGGGTTAGGTTACAGGTTATACTGAGCAACTTTGCTGAAGCGGCATCTCGAATTTGCCGTGGGCGGCCAAGTGCTGCGAGACCGTCTCGACGAACCGCTTGTGTCAAAGCTTCCCAGTGCACTGTAGGGGAGGGATGATTAGTAGAGTTGTGGAAATTGGTGGCGGGGGTGACAAAAGACTTACGGCAAATAGAGAACCAGATCAGGCCCCATGGACGGAGAATGGAAGCAAGGCGGCCAGGTTTGGGGGGCATGGTTATCTATGTGAGACGGTTATAAATGATGTCAAACCTTTTTTGAAAAAGTCAAAAAAAAAAAAAAAGGAAGGAGGCGGACGGTCGAGATTTTCGTAGAATAGGGACGAAATTTGTATTGGGGAGAAAACAGAAGTTGGATGTTGGTGGGCGAGTCGCTCGAGTGTTACAGTCAGCAGTCTACAGGCGGGCCGTGTGGCTTTAGTATCAATCCATACTAGTTTAGCTCTAGCCTAGGTTGAGTCTCACAAAGCGATCCCTGTCACGTACGGCTTAGGGCTCATGTAGCGTACGGGGGTCGGCCGAAAGTATTCACAGTGGAGCGCGTCGAATAGATCGAGGCTACAGGAGGCTCGTTTGCACCTCGATGATCTGCTAATGAGGGCTTATGGCGCAATCTCGCCTATTACGGAGAGGGTAAGCTTAGCGAACTAGGATCTCGGATTCACCCGTCGGTCTAACTTTAGACTCCACCCGACTCAAGGACACCCCACTTGTGTAGGATTTAGTGCTTATTCCCACTAAGCATGCCCGTCTCCACGCTCGCAAGTATCAGAGCTTGATTTACGTACGTCCTAAACAGAACCCGTCCTAAACAGAACTCGTGGAGGCTAACGGACCTTGACTAACTCGGAAGAGATGAACAAGGCTATTCAACACGCGTAGCTTGCCGCTCTTACCCTGCTATCGACATTGTATGATGTGCTATGAGCGTCCTTGGATCGAAAATCTGTAAAAAGTCAGAAACCAGAGAGTATTAGTGGTGAGAATGAAACATACTTTGACATTTCTGTCAGACATATGGGGCACTGTCCATTATTAGGTGATTCACCTGGATAATATGCGACTTTCTCCTTAGAGACACATAGGTTTACCAGATCTTGCAAACATTGCCTTCCAGTCTGGCTGTTGATTGGCACTTCTGTGAAGAGATTGCCACGCAACCTGTTCCTCTCTGGCATATATTTGCAGTAGATATTGAACAAAAAGGTGGTGTCACGCTCTGTGAAATTATTCCCTGAAACATATTCACTGTAACTGTCACGGGCTCGGAACAGCAGATACTAATGAATTGAATTCCTATCTAGACTGTGACGGTCCCGAGCAATATGAGTGTATTGGTAGATTATCTGACAAAATTCTAACATGAGGAGAGAAAAGGAAAGAGGCAGGCCTGCCGGCGACGAGCTAT